ATATTTGATAGTGCACCATCCATATACCATCATGCATACCTTTACAATTATATTATTCATGCTTGAACGAGTCGTATTTCGTTTCCCATGAAAAAGTATGCAAATGTGACTTCGAGAATGAAATTGCAATGCGTTTTCAACGATTAAGTGACTCAAAAGTCACAACTTCTTAAAAGCAAACAATTTTTGCGAAGCGTTCGTTTTGTTTTCGAAATTTTGGTTGTTTTGAAATGCTGTCTTGTGATGCTGAAGCATGCTATCGATCACGCTCGCCTGACCATATTGACCGATTCGATGGAATATAAACGTTTTTATATTATATCAACAAATGATCAATTAGAATGAATGAAAGCTTTTTTTCAATTTATAACACTGCCAACTGTTATATACAATAAAGTTGCTTTTTTGACGAGTTTGTTCAGCTTATTTCTATCCAAATGCACTATTGCTGAATATCGTACATGGTTGGTTCATGGTTGATAGTGAATCGAGTGAACAATACGTCTGTACTTTGAAAAAGATTCAGTTAAATTGATTGAAAGGAATCGTCGAATCATCAAAGGAATCCTTTAGTGAAAGTAATCGTTGAATCATCAAATCCTTTGCATATGCATGATTTGGTTTTTGCACTATGACAAAGAATATTTACTTACGATTAGTGCATCTGAACGAAAATTCTCTCGCAATCATCAGAATTTTACTGCAAAATGCATTGGAAAATAAAAAATACTGGAAAATAAAAATAAATCAAGTACGAATTGGAAAATAGAAATAAATGGAAAATCATTGATTGGAATAAAAAAAATTGACGTCTTGATTGAGCTACTTATTGAAAGTGATCAAACTGACAGTAAATCATCAGATGCGAATATATACAGTTTATTTTGATAATAATAAACAAAACATTCATTAAAACAATTTTTGAAATGCAACAAATTCAAAAGACGATCAGCTACAGAGCGCTGAGACTAATGCTATTAACGATAGCAATACACATAGTGACAAAAATAGGCAAAAAATTTCTTATTCTCAGGAGAATGGTCAAAGATTCATTTAGGTCGATGATAACAACAATAGAACAAAAACCTTAGCAAAAACGTTTCTCGAGAATATTTTCCGAAGTTGCTTTTGGATTGAGTGATAACTGCATTATCAGTCGGCGAGAATGATAACACTGATATGAGTGGAATAATATTAATCAACCAATGAAAATATTAATCACAATAATAAGAGTAACAATCTAATCACATCAAAAAAGACATATATAAACAACATATTTACAGATTCATCTTATCGTTCATCTAAAACGGTAGGATCTCTTGAATAATGCGGTAACATACATATAAAAATATCGATGAAGAAATAACCATTCGCGGATTTGAAGCAAATCTTTTTGTAACAACGCAATGATTATTCGTTTGATAATCGGCTGTTTTCCCTCATAATTACTCTTGGCTCAAGTTTATTTGATGTTCGTTTCAGAAAAGAAACACGAGCCGATGACTTCTGTAGTCGCTGAGGTACGATTCCATCACAATGGTTCTTTTGTTTGGTCTTGAAAATGCGATTTATTGGTTCGTACGAATGCGACTGACTGCTTAAAGCTGCTGTGCTTTCGCTCGAATCAATTTCCAAACTTTCGGTTGCGTTTCAATATCCTGAAAAAGCGTTAAATTATTGAGCAATTTGGCTTAGTTGGGGAGATATAGGCATTTTATTAATACTATCTCGCGTGCCACCTTCAAGTCTACCGTAAGCTCAAGTTTGCCCACTAACATATGAATTTTTTTTTGCATCAATCGATCCAGCTGGATCTCCTCATTCAGAAATACATATATTTTGTGGAGCGATTTTGTTATTCTGAGGAGACATAGTCACTTTCTGGAGATATGTCTCAATTCAATAGCACAGTCGCGCTCATTCATACAAATTGATCACTATAGAGCAATCAATACGTTCATATTAGCAAATATTCGTGCTATTGGAATCATTGCTTTTGATCTCAGAACAATATGAACTGATCTGCAGAGCTGTTAAGATTCTGACTGTGATACTGGCAATGACTACCATATTTGAGCGAATCTATGAATGCGTCTGTATGTGTGCTCCAAATGAAACGAACCGATTTCTTGTCATGAAAGTATTCTCGGATAGCCGTATTGCACAGTGTTGTAACATCTTCAATGCACACTTCTTGAAGCTGTGATAGCATCTGCAAAATACAATTCAAGAGTCAAGTTAAACTTCAACTTCAAGACTGAGCAAATGAAGTTGAGTTGATGGAAGATTGAATCAGAATTTTGAATTCTATTGACGAGACTATAACTGAACTGAAATACAAACCGATTTAATGTGTCCTTCATCGAAGTTGGATTCATCGAATGGTTCAAGTAGTACCACAGGCGCATTCGGCATCAAGATGTTCTGAAATTTCGATCATTTGACTTCAAAATTCATTTTTCATATTGTCTTCTACCGTTGAGCTTATGATAGTATAAAGCGGAGTTTCTTCCACAATTTGTTTGCTAACCAATGAAATTAGATTCGAAATACTGTTTTCATAAAAATTGGAAACACAACGACACATATATCATCGAACGGAATATTTCTGATGAATGAATAGGACAGAAATCCTTTTCAAATGAAAAGGATTCCTATATTCCCGTTGCTCTCACAAACATTTTAATCGTCATGCGTAAATTGATGATTGCATACGTTCAATTTATCGACAGTTTGTTGAAAGTTGGGTGCGATGCTGGACTGATGAGCAAAGAATTCAGTGGCGACGAATGCATCAAAACGACTTCCGGAATCCATCCAGTAATCAATGGCCGAATCGAGATGACGATTCCATGCGACACGAAGACGAGGATCCTTGACCTGATTCACTTTCGCCAGCGATATGTGATAGAACAACTCGTTCGTTTCAACGCTCCAAACTATTTGACAGTCCAACACCTTAATTTCCCATGTTTTAGCAGCTATAACCTGCCGAAAAGCTCTGATGGTAAGTTATCACTTCAACTGATCTCAAAACGAAGATGAGTTCACTTTTCACAGATAATTTTTTTGGAATGTTTTAAACCTAAACTTTCTGGACATTTGGAATTCCTACCACCTACAGATTTTAAAAAAAATGTTTAGCGCTGTTATTGCTCGTGTGTATCAAACTTTCTATCGTGTTCTTATTGCAGAGTCATTATGGCACAAAAACTTAAAGAAAATAATTTCATTAAAGAAAATTAAAGAAAATAATTTCATCTGTGATCTGACTAATATCATTTCAGCATATAAAGTTTCAAGCAAAAACTATGCGTGCGCAATGCTGATTTCTCAAGAACCAGTATCTAAAATCGCTATTGACAACAACTCGTTATTGATAGTGAATATATTTTGATCTGCTTTTATTGTTTCAACGAATTCGATCGAAAGCGATCACATTGTAATGGTTGAATTTAGTAACGCCATTTTCTGGTTTCATATGATGGCGTGATCCGACACGTTATTCATAACGGCAAAAGATGTGATAACAAGGACGGATGGCACATGAAAATTTTGCGATAGCGATAGAATGCAAGTTAGAAAACAACGAGACATCACTGCTGTGTGCATGTAGTTTCATTTGCAGCAACAATGTTGCGCCTTTCAATTTTGCATTATAAAACGGAAATATTTATAAAATATCTGTGAAAAAGCACTGATGTTGAGAGCATGAGAATTTGATTGTGGCGATATTGTGCAATCATAAAGGAATCAAAACACACCTGTCACAAAATAAATGCATGGGAATTTGATCAGTCATCATGTACAGAAAGAGCAACATGACTGAAAATGTTTCCGAGAAAATTGAAATTGAAATTTTTTTTGCATGACTGTTGGAAATCGAACTGCCTATTCAACTTGAACTGACTCAGTTGCAGTGCAGAAAATGAACTGGTTCGATTTGGTTTAACTAGTCAATAGGATTTTTGATAAGAGCAGGCTGAATATACATTCAAATGATATGATCCAGGTAAGAGAAGAATGATTCATAAATGAATAAGTCAACAAACATACCTCAGATATCAAGAATGCGTTGAGGTGAACATGAAAAGCCATTTGGCGTGGATTAAAAAGCATTATCGCTGATTTGGGTTTGATCGATTCCTTTTGTAGCACATAACTCAACACCTTGAAATGCATTTGAATCATTCAAATTCAGTGATTATAATGATAAGAATTATCGATTCGTTTGAACATTTTACAGATCAAAACCAGTGGAACTCCTGCGCTCACTTCATATCGACTTGATAAAGTCCTCATTCTGTGATCGAAATCGCATCGAAAAGAACGCTTGAATTTATGATGTTCTGAGCAGATCTGAGAAATGCAGTCACTGAATAACGTGCGATCAAGAGTCATTGTGAAAAATTCTGAACTGAGACCTTATCAGTCCAGCAATAATTTCGGCTCTCTAAAAGTTGATTCCACTTCATCTGCTCCAATTTTGTTGTTATTCGGAAATTCATCAACGCATCGCATCGATCGAATTCGTCTGATACGTCCTCTTCGCACAGCACCTTCTGCGTCAGCCAATGAATTTGACGCCAATTGTTTTGTCGCTAAACCATCAATTTTCATTCATTGCTAACAGAATTCGTTCGTTCGTCAAACCAGTTCATCAAAATATCACATTTCACTGATTCAATTCCAGTGGATTTTTAACATTGGCATTGAAATTATCATCATTTCTAGTTGGATATTCTCAATGGCCCTAATTGTTGACGGAAATAACAACTTCGACAAAACATTTTAATAAATGTTTTGTCGAAGTTGTTTTAGACCCAGTTTTAGACTTATTCCGAAGGGAATTTCCACTATCTTCCGTGATTTTTTTGTGAACTGTATTGATTTTTCACCCACTCTCATTCACTTGCACAATATGATGCATTGGGCATAATGTACAACCGTTCACATGAAGTCGAATTTCTGATTTCTCACCATAATATACGTTGGTACTGAGCATGCCCAATGTACTTCGAAACGATAAACTTTGCCATCGGATTGTCGACATCGAACACTTTTTAGTAGTCGAATATATTCAGAGACGTGTCTGTAGCTGGTTGGGTTCGTTTCGGTTGTGGTGTGCATTGTACTGTTGGCGTGTGCTGCACAATAGAATTACTATTACTTTCATTAGACAAGCTCCATATTAGCTTCGACGATGGATTATCGAATATTCTTGTTATCCTTGAATAACTTCTTTCGGATTGGTTTGTCAAGAAATATTTCGGAAGGATTCAATTGAAAGAGTTAAACCGTAATGGTAACGCATTGCAGTGAAAAACCATCAGTTTTTGCATGCTAATATTGGGTGGTCAACAGTGCGATCGATTTTTGTGTGGGCATCATCATGAAAATATGCTTGGTGGAGGATGTTTTCATGGTATTCGTCATGATTATTTATATGATCAGCAAATGATTGATTGAAGGAACGAATTCTGAATGAGGACGGAAGCAGCTGAAATTCACCAGTGGATGGTTGACTGCAAGATTCGCGTAAATGCAAGAAGCCGTTTGGTCGAATTGATCCGAGAACATTCAAGAGAAACTCGATCACCTCCTCATCATTCAGATACATCAACAGCCAGTTCGTAAACACCAAATCAACGCTAAATGAACAATTTTAGTGAATGTGCATGGTACTGGTCACTGCAAGTGCCGTTATCACTATTATTTCGCTGCATTTTAATGGGTTCTCATCATCCATTTGCAAACTCATTCACATTCTCTTTGGATATTCATTCGATCTTGCAAAACTCCACAAAGCTTGAATTCAATCGAATATCCCAGTATTTCTCAGCCCCTAAATTCATTCAGCTTCTCATGCGAATCTAATGGCTTATTATCTTTTGAAGTCCAATTCATCATATCGCTCAGTTACACAGCTATCCAGCAGTTTTTATAGAGAACGAGACAATACATTAAGTTTTGCATTGTAAAATTTGAAAGAATTCAATTAGTAACCTATTTGATTTGAGTTTCAAGTGAACTGCGTCAATAACTTGATAGGTGATATTAGAGAAGTGTTCATTTCGTTCCTGATTTTTACGCATGAAACTCGCCATAAAATCACATGACAGCACATGACGAGCCGCACGTGCGAACATTGTTGTGAAACGACTGAAAACTACCGACAGATATTATCATTTCGAAAAATGGGAATAACTGCATGAAAAGTTGCGTTCGTCTATGTTCCAATTTATTCTCTTTCATCTTAATAAATTTTTGAAACGCAACTTTGCATGATATATGCATTTATATGCTTTGATGAACATCAAAATTTTAATTTATACATTTGGCAGTCTAATAAGAATGAGTTGAAATTGCGAAAGTGCAGCCAAACGAGATATAAAATTAAAAATAAAATTGATTAAGAGTGCAGCCAAAAAAAGTACGTTTTCTGCATTGACCTTTCAAAACTTTTCTGTTTTGCATGAAAGCGAAAAGAAAGAACATTCTCAAATGAACCCGTTTTCATTCAACTTTACGTGAATGGAAAAGAATTGAGATGCTCAAAAAGATATTACAAGAATAACCCGATACTATTTAATAGGTCAATTGATATACGAACATCTGATAAAGTCCTTCATCACATGTTCGTACGACAATTGCTTTATTAATTGGTAGTTGTTTAATTTTTTCCTGTCCTATTTAACAGATATCTAATTAATATTGGATATTGATCTATTTCATAGGTAAAAAACCAAAAAATTTTTATTGGTTAAGAAAAAATACTGTTGGATATACGTGTAACAGCAGGTTTAGATGAACGGTCAAACTTGAGTCAGGTTTCATCTGCTCCTCAAAGTTTCCATTTTAGGTGTAAGGCAAGGTGCCGGATAAAGCAAATCCATACCCTATGCCAGCACCGATATCGACGACATCTTTGCCGTGTAGGTCTGGCAAACACGAGAGAATATATTCTCGTTCTTCCTCCTCGAAGTCATCTGCACTGCTGTTCAGCATCATTGCCGTATTATCGCAAACATTCGAGAATGACGACCAGAACTTTTTATAGCGTATGCGATCCACAGCTGTTTCGGTCATTTTGCTTAAGCGTTACCTTAAATCAGATTGATTAAACAACATAATAGCATAATAGAACTTGTGGCTGTTCGCGTTACATGGACATAAATGGCATTGGGTTGAAGTTTCCAGTACGATAGGAAAATCTGAATAATACGAACAATTCATATGGCTATGCGGAATCATTTTGAAAGAGAACATCACTCGAAAGCATATAGCATGGTGTGGTAAATTACACAACAGTGAATTATTTCACAATGAGTTATTGAAATTGCGAAAGTGCAGCCAAACAAGCATCAGTTGATTTTCATTGAGCTTAACGAGACGGAAGAAGAACTGGGATATTTAAAAATTTCGTCTATACACGAATAATTGGATGATATCTAATAAGTCAATTGATATACGAACATCTGATAAAGTCCTTGATCACATGTTCGTAGCACAATTCATGACTTTCATTTTTTTGCACATCATTGAAAAAATGATCAATTCATGAGAGCAACACTTTTATACATAGTAGATTGCAACTGATTAAGAGAATGATGACGGGATTCCAACAAATCCTATGCTGTATACTGATTCAGCGAAAAATTCTGCATGAAATCTTGAGGTGATAGATTTGTTGGCGATGAATTTTATTTTTTAAATTTGGATTCAAAATTACTCACAATCAAATAAAATGTCGACGAACAGTTTCAGCTGCACCAGCACACGAATAAAGTGTATGGATAGCTGAACCGCAGTTGATACCTCAATAGCACTGGTTAACTTCGCACTAACTGCGAATATGCCATCGTAAAGGGTTATATTCAGGTGAAGGCGGGCACTCTTCTTGAAATCAACAAATCGGTATTTATCAACGGTATTCGTCTAGCATATCAACTGATCACTGGTGATGTGGTGCACGCACACATTGTCATGATTAATTACATGATGCAATCACTCATCAAAATAGCGTCATCTGAACAAATAATAATTCCTTGATGATTGACAAACAAAATTCAGCGCATTATCTATCATACCATCATGCAGTATTATTAGCGCAGCTGAACAGAATAATGTTTTAAAGTGCAATTTTTTGTATCACGAAATTATTTCTTATTTTGCTGCTTTAATGTATATCAATAAAGAAACAAGCACCTGCGCATAAATGTAATGGCATACATGTTCATCTACAACTGGATGAACTCATGACTATTTCTTTTGTACATCATTGATAGAATTACAATAATTATGCATGAAACACATCATTCATCCTCTCCAATAGCAATTCAGTTCAATCAACCATATGTATGAGCCCATTGAGAGCAGCCATAGGTTTGGTTACCAATTGTAAGTATGGGAAACAAAATGTTGATAAAAACTTATATAAAGTGATTATATGTTACAGGAACTGTGAGAATATTCGACTAATAGTGGTAATGACTGTGATAATTTCAAAAGAAAAATGAGGTCAGTAGTAATGTTTGTTGAAGAGAGCTAAGCCTAGTAATAGCAACAATACTGCTGATGATATGATAACAGGAATATAGTTTCTATTGACAAAGTATTATATGCGCAATTAGAGATGGTTTTTACGATGTTCAACGTTTCGGCGTCATGTCATCTTCAGGAACATGTCGTTGAATCAGGTAACACTTTGTGGATAAAAACTACATTACTATTTGATCTACCTATTACCTATTGATCTACTGAACTTATGAAGGAGGAAAGCTTTCAAGAAGTGATAACAGGTTTAGCAATGAGCTGATAACAGCAGTGGTATCAATGGAAAGGCCGATGAAAGAGAAAACACGCATAAGTGATGGGTTTTTCGTGTCCAATTGTACAATGGTTTTAGTCTATCTATTTAGTCTATTGATCAGCGATCGCTGATTGAACATAATGACATGAAAACTTATTCATTTGTTCATTTGAAGCATTCGTTAAGTCAGAAGAAAGCTCTCAGTTAATACTAATTCTGTGACCTTGAAACATTTCGACATTTCAGAACATACATGTGATAACCGATGAATAAAATAATCGATGTCGATTGTTCGTACATCGATTTATGATAACCGATGCACGGACAATCGTTCAAATGATGAAAAAGATGGGAAATCTGAAATAATTAGGGAATTCAGCCGGTCAAATACTGCGGTATAACGCAAATGTTTAGTGGTATAATGCAATGAGTGATTAGTTTGGTGATCAGATAATCCATTATAACGCAGAGGATGGTTTTTCCAGCGGACAAAGCGGATCATTTCAAAGTTATAAGAGAGAAGTGCGATTAAAACATGTATTTTCCAGAATCTATTTCAGAATCTACACTTTCGTGTGAAAATCTCATAGGAAGATCATAGAAGAGCCAAGCGAAATCGCACAAAAAAGCAACAAAAAAGAAACACGGAAAGACTGCTCATTTTAACAGTAAAATGGTCACCTTATGTACGGAATGCGCAAATATTTTTTGTGCTTTTCAGCTCACCGGAATGCTCATTCGGTGATTGGAATTTTCAACTGCTTTATGCAGTTTTCAGCCAGAATCTAGGCATGCTCAAGATTTCGTAGGAGATAAGGAGTGTTTGTTTGGGTTGCAGCATTGCTATTATCAATGGTACATTTCAAAGTCTGACAGAATTGAATATGAGATCAACTTAAATTACAGAATCGATGATGAGACTAACAATAATAAGGATGACTCATAATATTGGTAGTTTCTCATTCTTATGAGCAATGTATCATCATTAATGACTCTAATATTATCACTACTGCAAAAACTGAAGTTATGAGCAAACGCATGCCTCATTCGATCATTGCCTTTCTGAAATTGATCTGCTCTTGCTGAATAGCCGTTCTTCATATAACTTTTGGGAACAGATCATGCAAATATGTTTCATATGCGAAGAAGTATGATATACATATGGTTTCAGTGGAACAACGCTGACGTTATTCACGAGCGAGTGCGTAGTCGATGATTCGTGATCAATTCTAATGCAGAAAATAACAAAATTCCCACGAAAATCCATTTCGAATCATGATTCTTCATGGGAATATTCAATACCATTTGGCAATTGTTTTGAATTGATGAATGTACTGTAGTAGGATCATGAAAATTTTCATACAAATATCGCTCAAAACACGAACAAAATTATTGTTTCATAAAATTTCACATCATTCACATTTTAGTTCACATCATCGTTATTGCAACTGTCATCGTGGCAAGGATCTGCCTGTGGGATATTTTCCAGTGGTTTGCAGTTATGAAATTTCAATTTTAGTAACCGTTTCGCCGGGAAATTGTTGTATTTCGACTCTTTATATGAATATCTTAGCTTTTTCCCACCACTAAAGGAATGTGATGTATGTGTTCGCTTGGGCACGGAAATTCCGCAGTTGGTCGTTTTTGCCTAAAAATTGGGGTTCCGAGGACTCCCTTTGAAGTTTCGCAAAATTTTTAGCTAGTTCACCGTCCGCATTCGATCAACACTCAAGATCAAATGTGCGGACAGGTGTTCTGTTGGCTTGACCAGTCGGCTTGGATTATTCGGCTAGGTGTAACCATTTGGATTGCGATTTTATCGCTGATCTCGCAGATGTCAGCTTCATAGATGGAAATTTCTTAATTGATGATAGATTTATTAAATAGAAGCAATAATTTACAGAATTGTTTTTAGTCTGGTAGCGGATTATTGATGTTGTCAACCAGCTCCTTCAGTTGATGGGCAATCGTTCCAATCGAGTTCACCGTATTACTAGTGTTTGCAAAATATCGACCGTTTAATCAATACCGAGATCATATTAATACCGGTGCGTTTTTCAATACCGATACGATACCGGTGTTGAAAAGCAACTTTTGAAACAAAGAAATGTGACGACTTGTTCAACATATTCTTTTTGAGCTAATGTGTTTATAAACAAAGCTAATGTGCTAATGTGCTCACATTATCTAATGTGCTAATGGGTTTATGTGTTCATTCAGAAAACAATTCATTTAACAAATCACTCAACAAGGCTCCAGAAATTTAACAAAAAACAAAAATGGGTATGGTTCACGCTCCAGTCGCGATAGATATACTATCAAATTCACTTAAAATGACTTGTGGTATGAATACCGGAAATACCGTGAGTATCGGCACCACGAATCCCGAGATCGGCATCGCTTTTCTAATACCGCTATTAGTTGTTACCGAGATTTCGTGCAAACGCTAGGTATTACCGAACGAATAACGGTCAGTAAGCTTATTGACTGGGGGTTGGGGTGCAGTTTGCGGTGCGGAGAATGAGAAGCTCTCAGCCGTCGGGATAACGTGTCTTTGATTACGCTATAATTTACCTTTTGAATGGCGAAACCAGCCATAGTGTGGACTGCTTCACATTGTAAGCTGTTGATTAGGTAAGCCAGATTATGCATCGTTGTGATGGACACATCTGGACATTGAAGTGGTAGGGACTTAGGTCAGGACACTGACCTGATTGAAAATGAAGTCAATGAGAAAATGAGGCGTCTAGTAGTTTTTGGAGTGGCGATATTTATACTGTTTTTTGAGGTGGGACCGTGTTTGATTATTTGTAATGAATTTGGTGCCTTGATGACCTGCATTGTTTGACCGCGTTTAGATTTTTTGAAGGTGATCTTTCGTTATCAGATTTTCTTTGTTTTTTAAGGCATTTTCTAAAAAGTTTCGATTGTTTTAACAGTTTGAAGATATTCGAATATCATCATCAATCATGGGTTCACTTAATTGATGTTTGAAGATGACCATGCAAAAACAGATTTGCGCATTTTTATCTGCGGAGCTCGCAGCAGTGTGCGTATTGTGAACCTTTATAGACGGGAGCAGTTGAGGAAACGAGATTGCAGAGGACATTTTGTGGTTTAGATTAGACATTGTCACATCTGAAAACGCTCTAAATCTGTTCAAAAGGATCGTGTAATTTCGTTTCTAAAATGATCGAACATTTTCAACTACTGAAAACTTGCGTTCGTTTTGAAACTGTAACAATTTAAACAGTATGAAATGCCTTTCTGCCAATTT